CCTCACAATTGATCAAATAAGTCATCAATCCTGGGTAGTGGGTATTTATTCTTGACCGTCATCTTGTTCAATTTCCGATAGTCAATTCATAATCTTAGCGACCCATCCTTCTTTTTCACGAACAGAACTGGAGCTCCCCATGGTGAAGTACTATGTCGGATAAATCCTCGATCGAATAATTCTTGCAATTGGACTTTCAACTCCTTAAGTTCCTTTGGAGCCATACGATAAGGTGCCATAGAAATAGGTGAAGATCCTGGATAAGTCTCAATCTCGAACTCTACCTCTCTATCAGGAGGTAACCCAGGCAACTCCTCCGGAAAAACATCAGGAAACTCGCTAACTGTACGAATCTCCTCGATCGTGGGCAATGCACCTTTGGTGTTCAAAATACAAGCAATGAAGGTCTCATATCCCTTCCGGATCATACGATCAATTTCCATCGCTGAAACTATATTGGAGAGATAACCACGCCGTTCACCAATTAACACAACAGTCCGACCATCTGAAGTCTTCAGAGTAGCTCACTTGTATTCGTAATCCAGCTTTACATTGTGTTTATTCAACCAATCCATTCCAAGAATTAGATCGAACTCCTCTAAAGGAAGCTCCATAAGATCAGCGAGAAAAATTTCTCCCTGAACCTCGAGAGGACAACGCCGGAATACTTTATTCACTAATATCGATTGTCCTACTGGACTTGTAACTGTAACAGTATTTTCAGTGTTCTCGATTGGAATCTGAAGGTTTCGAGATACTGAGCTCGATACATAGGAGTGAGTGGAGCCATTGTCCAATAATGCAAAGTATGGAGTAGAATAAATAGTAAATGTACCTGCAATAACCTCAGGCTCATCTCTGTCATCACGACGTCTAGTGGCATAAACCAAAGTTGGTTGTCTAACCTTAGAAGCTGTTGGCCCTCTATTTTGCTGAGGTTGGGCTCTACTGTCTATTCTGGATGCTGATCCTCGAGTCTTTCCTTCACTACGATCTCTAATTGGGGTATGTACTGTAGTCTGTGAACGCACAGGAGTTTGGGTAGCGGTCTGCTCAAACGAAGCTAGCTGAGGACAATCCCTCTGATAATGACCACTAGATCCACACTGATAGCAAAGACTCATCTTCTTACGACACTCTCCTGTATGTTGTTTACCACAATCTTCTCGGACTGTGCTGATGACTCAACAGGGCCTGAAAATTTCTTAGATCGTTCTTGATCAACACGCTCTCTACCAGAAGCTAAAACCTCCACCTCTTCCGTATCTTTGGCTCTGCCCACCAGCACATCAAATATCTCATCCTGATGGGTTACAACTTGCCTACGCAGCTCGTATCTGAGTCCAAGGGCAAATTTACGACATCGATCTCTCTCCGTATGTACCATACTGAATCCATACTTCAGCAACTTTAGGAACTCGATCTCATATTCAGAAACAGTCATGTCTCCCTGAACCAAGTCTTGAAACTGTTGTCGTCTCTGAGCTAAGTAGCGCTCTCCTAGAAAACAACTCCGAAAGCGATCCTTAAAGAAATTCCAGGTCAAACGATCGGTAGGAACACTACTGGTCACTGACTCCCACCAAGTGTAGGCATTACCATCTAACATTGCTACAGCACCCATATATCTCTTAGTTGAGTCCAAACCCAACTGATCCATGCGTCTCTCTGTATCCTGGAGCCAATCCTCAGCTTCAGTAGGAGCTCCACCAATCTGTCCCCCAAAAGTTCTAACTCCATTGGCAATCAACGTTTGTGAAATAGGAACCTCAGATACAACACCAGTAGCTCTGACTGCTCCCTGTATTAACTGCAAAAACTGTCTACTAAAATTCTCATCAAATGCAACTCCAGTAGACTTTGACTCAATATTGGTCGCTCCTATGATCGGTGTAGTCATGCCAATACCATCAGTAGGTGGCATATTCGTTGGGGTCGTAGGAGCAGGATCACCTATCGGAGGTGGGGGATCTACTCGTATCTCATCAATCGGATCTGCAATTCTAGCCACTCGACCTCGTCCACAGCTAGTTCGACGACCACGTCTAGCACTCATTTTGGTGGATCTCGAGATTACTAAAGAAGATAAACTTAAGGTTAGATAAGCACTTGGAGTCTCGAACATAGTTAAAATCTTAATAACTTTGTGACATGGCCTTAGTAACTCGTTTTGTAAAATATTTCAAAACCATATTTTCAATGTGGACTCATACACAGTCCGAGGGTTAAAAACCAAAAGCTCTGATACCAATAAATGTAACCCCCTAGACCCGGCCTACGCGTTTCGACTAAGTCTAGTGGATCACATTATGATTATTAAAGACATTTTCCGAAACCGTTATTTCATCAATATAAAATCACATTATAAATAACATGAAATTATAAACAAATTATACTATCAAAATCCAACTCGTAAATATAGTACCAATAAGTAATAAATTAATTTAAAACATGTCTTCAAATTCAAAATCACAATAAACTGAACAGTAATAGCAAAAGAGTCATCATTATAAAATCCAATATTTTAAAATAAGGTCCATATCACCAAAATAAAGTCAACTTGCAAAATAAAAACATTTCAATCTGATTTACTTCAAGAGATATGTTGATCCTCCAAGTGCTCGAACCGAGGTATCTAACCAACAGTATCTGAAAGGGGGGAAATATTTTCGAAAGGTGAGCTAGGCTCAGTGTGTCCCAACATTTCCATAAAATCACAATAGGTACAAATCATAGTCCAGTAAATCTCACAAATTCATAAAAGAGTTTAACTTTTGAAAATCATAGTTTAAACCCTTTTCTGGTACACCATCAGTAGTTCCCAAAATTATTTTCCATATAACTTACTTTATGCACATAGCAAAAAGAAAGCCGACTTAAGGATAGGCTATGAAGCTTGTATCCTTAAGCTCAAGTCAATAAGTCCATATAGCTTACCCTAAGCACACAGCAAAGGAAAGCCGACCTAATGAAACATCTTGGGGCCCTCAAGAGTCACATTAGGCCCATTTAGCTTGATCAGAGCTATTCCATCGTAATTCAATTGCACCGTGACATAAATTCCATAAATCCAAAAACATGGTAATCATATACCATTTCAAAACAAAAATTAGATAGCAGCCATATTCCATAAATTGTCACATTAAATTGGTGCATCCATAAAACAATAACCAATGAATTCGGTGTACCACATATTAAAACCAATAAAACAGTTCAGTAGTAAGTAGGGAACACACCTCGACAATAGGTTCAAATAGCAAATCTACTGATTGTTGGTTTCACCACGCTCTGCTACAGTTTTCGAACCTATTTTACAATAACACTATATTACTTATGAGTAATATAAATAGATCTCTAAAATTATAAAATTTACGGGTCTTACGGGTGAATACTGGCACACGTGGTTTAACTGATCTAGAAGAGCTGGGTCAAGCTGTCGAACGATCCGGAGAGTCTCTTGTACCTTCAAACAATAATAATTTATCAGTCCCAAATCCTATTTAATTGTTCAAAGCTAAACTTCTTAAGTATATAAGCATTTTTTGGGTTTGACTATCAATTTGGGGTATTTCGAGTCTGAATTTGGCCAAACGGATTGCGGAATCGGAATCAGGACGTCAAAAAACATAAAGTATGACTTTTCGAAAATTCAAATTCTTGGTCAAAGTCAAAGTCAACCACTTTGACCGTTGATTTGGAAGCCTTCGGGTTCGAATTTCACAAAACGGAGCACAGAAACAAATTCGGCACGTCGAAAGCTATCAGGATAGGTATACTCGGAAAAGATTAACGACCATTTAATAGCCGGTCAAAGCCGGTCAAAGTTCTGGTCAAAGGAGGTCAACAAACAGTTGAACATTTTACACAAATAGCACACTTTTTAAAATAATTACCAAAATAGCACCCATTTCGAATTAATTACCAGAATAGCACCAAAACCAAATTATTTACCAGAATAGCACCAAAACAAAATTATTTACCAGAATAGCACCGGTCAACGGTCAACGATCGGGTCGGATCAACGGGTCGGATCGGGTCAACGGATCGGGTCTTGACCGGTCAAACTCTTAAGAAAACCGGTTGAACCGGTCACTCACTCGCCCTACGGCGGCGCGTGAGGTGTTCTTCGGGGCTGTAAAAATTACGGAAAAATTTCTAAAAATTATTTTGAGCGTTTTCGAGGTACTTACAAAGCTCGGTTCAAATTTTTGAACGGCGGAGAGCTTGAATTCATCAAATCGGGAAGTTTGACCGGTTCACCTCCCCACGCGCCGCCGCCGCCGGAGAAAAAGGAGAACATCGGTGGACTCGGAACGGCACAAGGAACACGATGGTGCGGGAGGTGTCGTAAACGGAGCAACGATTAGCGGTGAATTTAAGATTTTCTCGGCGATAGAGCTAACAAAAACGTCGCTACTTTGATTGTAAATTCCCGACGTTTGGCCGCGTTTCGCTACAATTAATTTGAAGAGTTTATTCCTCGCTTGATGATGAACACAACGGTGGTTTCAAAACAACGATTGGAATTCGGACGGCGTTGGGATCGAGTTTGGAAGTTGTGTGCTTGAGGAAGAATTTGTGAAATTGATTTTCGTTTTTCAAAACAGAAATCACGCATAAATAACAAATGTCTGTCGACACTCCAAGGATAAATTCAGGGCTTGGTCCCTGAATTTTCTTTAACTCTAAAACAAGCTCCTAGTTTTAAAATCTTTCAATTTAATCTTAATTTTCGCCAATTTTTACAATTAAACCCTCTAATTTCAATTAAATATTATTTTAAAAATCGGGTTGTTACATGAAATTTATACCTAAGAAATGCAGTGCTAAGTGGGTAAAAAGAGGAGTAAAAATAAACTAAGTAATAAAATAAGGTGCGAGAAGGAATTAAGAGAAAACAAAACACCGTTGAAAAGAGTGTGCAGAACTGAAACTCTTTAATCCAAACCGCTAATATTCTTCAATTATGTTTATTTTCTATTTCTGACTTTTCTGGAGATTTCTTCCTCTTTTTTTTGGGGGGTTACACATGTCTTTCACATCTTCATCCGAAACATCTATAGCGGCGTCTGATCCTCACGCGCCGCTACTCCGTCCTCGTCAATCCGATGGATCGGCGCCCCGCCCTGTTACGTTGACCCAACTGTTGGGTCGAGCTACGGGACGGCGTGGCGCTCCCATGCTGGTGAGGGAGACGGCGGCACGTGAGTTGGAGGAGCGGAGGGCCGACTGGGGGTACTCGAAGCCGGTGGTGGCACTGGACATGCTGTGGAATACAGCGTTCGTGGCGGTGTCGGTGGTTATGCTGATCTGTACGGCGGACGAGAGACCTAATACTCCTATTAGAGTCTGGATCTGCGGGTATGCCTTGCAGTGCTTGGTTCATGTTGTTTTAGTGTGGTTGGAGTACAGGCGAAGGAACAGTAGTAGAATATCTGCTAGGGATGGGGAGAGTGGAGATGCAGTTTCTGGGGATGTTAGTGATAGTGAAGACGATGAAGACGGTATTGGAAGGAATCTTTTAGGATCAAATGAATCAAGGTCAGTTTCTTTTTGTATAATTTTGCTTTTTTTTGTTTGTGTTTTTAAGCTACAAATCTTGATTGGGGTTTTTGTTTGTTTAACTTTGAAATTTTTTTAGTGGTTTCTTGTTTCTTAGTTTAACTCAGATGTAGATTCAGGCTTTCTTTTAGGATCGAATTTGTTTTAGTGCACGAAGTATTATGCTCTGAACTTGGAATTTTGATGAAATTATTACTTATTTTTGTATTAGACTGGATTAGGGTTTGGGGTCAATTTGGCATTCTATTGCTTTTTTATTTTGGATAGATTAGGGTTTGAGTATCATCTTGGCTGTTCAGGTTTAGAAGATTTGAGCCTCGGGTTATTTTGAAGGAATTGGAAGGCTTTGTTTTGGTGTTATCATTTATTCTAGTTGTGGCACTTTTTTTATGTTTTGCGAATATAATTGGTGAAATTATCATTATCATTTTAGTCTTCGCCTTCATGGTGAATACAATGTTTAAACTTTGGGAATGCTGCTGGGCAACGAATTAGGCTGCATCTGTTTTTGAAATTGGAACGAGTCCCTGGTCCAAATACAAGAACCAATGTCATAGGGCATAGTATTGAAAAAAGTGAATGCCAAACTGCCAATATCTATCGAATGGACTTAGCATTTAGCTTTGGATGATGGTAGAGTAACTCAAACAGAACAACACACACTTTTTTTCCGCCTTTATGCACAATGGAGAAGCTTGGGGAATTGACGTGTCTTATCTTGTGGACAACAACTTATCTACTGGCATTATATTTTAGTATAATAGTTTTCTATTTTGATTACTAATCAACCCAATTCACCAAAGTAATGAAACTGTTGCCAAGCTATCATTTGAGTGTATTTTTTGTATTGTCCGTCTAGATTTGCATTTATTTTCTGTTGTGGAAACAGCAACTTGGGATGATCAAGTTATTATTCTTGTACTGATTTGATGATGTAATGGGCAGTGTACCTAAACGGTGCGAATCATTGAATACAATGGCATCATTTGTTTGGTGGATGGTTGGCTTCTATTGGGTAGTTTCTGGTGGTGATATCCTTCTGCAAAATGCTTCACGATTGTATTGGTATGTTGTTGGCCAACCTGTTGTTTTGCAAGCACCTTATCTTCTGTTAGGATTACATATTTGTTAATGACATATGATTTCCGCCTCGATGGAAAAGAGAAATACATACAAGAGTTTTTACCTATAGTTGCCAAGTTATTGAAACATTCGACACCAGTTATCATCTCATTCTTGTATAATATCTGTGTTGTTCTCCTTGAAACACAATCATTCTGTTACCTTTTGGAATTTCTTTCCCTGATTCTCAATTGGCTGCAAAAAAGAAGTTGATGCTTTAGTTAAGCCAAAAATTTGGGGGGAAACGGTAGTAGAGTACTTTTACATGTTAAGCATTTCGGAACCCCAAATACCATCTCCCAAAAAGAATATCTAGTCTTTTCCTGTATTCTATTTTTTGTGGCTATGTTCTCCAGACTGTATTTTCTCTAAAGCAGATTTGTTTTACAATAATTGGGCACGGATATGGGATATGATTTTTCAAATATCTTGAAAATTGTTTATAGAAAAAGAGCATATGTGTGTTGGATGCATGTGTCCGACATTAACCCTTATTCCTGGTAACATAGGTTTTTGGCATGTTTACTATGGTGTATACGGATCTTTAATATGTGACTTTTGCAGGTTGGCTGTGGTTTTTCTAGCATTTGATGTATTTTTTGCAATCTTTTGTGTTGTTTTGGCCTGTTTAATTGGGATTGCTCTCTGCTGCTGCTTGCCATGCATCATTGCAATTCTTTATGCTGTTACGGAGCAGGTATCGGGAAACACATTTTATGCTTACTGAAAAATTTATAGAACAACTTGGTAGTGGTACTAAATAGCATTTTCTTATCTTGGGCTTATACTGATCAGGAAGGTGCATCAGAAGCAGATCTTAGTATCCTTCCGAAATATAGATTTCAGATTATAAACAACAGTGAGAAGGGAGCAGGGAAAATGATCCCCGTAGAAATGAGCAGCGGTTACTTCGCAAATGAGCGCATACTCCTACCTGAGGATGCAGTAAGTTGCAACTCAATCTGATAACTTTCTGGTGGCTGGTTTGCTCAATGCGACTCCTTTCAGGCGACAGCTATGCTATTCTAATCGTCCTTTTTTTTGGCAGGAATGTTGTATATGTCTAAGCTCATACGAAGATGGGGTGGACCTCCATGCTCTCCCTTGCAACCATCATTTTCATTCAACATGTATTGTGAAATGGCTTAAGATGAATGCAACATGCCCTCTCTGCAAATACAATATTTTGAAGGTAAATGAACAAGTATGAAAGATAAGGAGAGCAAGCCTTGGATGTTGTCCGATTAAGTCGTCGATGATACTCTCTGTGTATTGTACAGAAGAAACCCTATGCTATGAAGAGCTGAAACTGAACATGCTATTATATATATATATATATATTCATTCTTGGCTTAACTTTTTTTTTTCCGTTTGAATGGCTTTTTGGGGTTGACTTCATTCCTATGGGCCATCTTGTGTGCCAGTTTTTCCAGTCTTGTTGAAAATAAAAATGATATTTATCAGTTGTATATGCTTCATTATTATAGTTTATAAGAATGAATGATTAGGGCCATCCTGCATGGATTTTATTTTTGGTATATTTTCTTTCTCGACTTGTACTTTATTTCATCTTCAAATAAAATTGTTAAAATTATTATTTGATCGAACACATAATTAATAGATTCTTCAAGTTCTCGAAATCCTCTATAAATGGTCTCAGTCCGACTCTGTGGAAGTGCCAATCTCCTCACCTCCGTCATGTACCTGTAGAATCCCAAATATACTATTTTAAAAACTATAACCCACAGCTAAATATGTGCTCTACTAAACAGAGCTTGAAGGAACTGACCCGATGGCTGCACTCGTGATCTTGTCGCGAACCCCTTGATTTAAAACCATCGTCTGTTCCGGTGAGAATGTTCCACCTAATATTAAAGACGCGCCGACCGCAGTTGTGCCCATTCTTTGTGCAAATACAGACATCGCCCATTCACGCAGTACCACTTGCACTGATCGAAGAAGGTGTAATCTGAGGTTCGACGATGACAAAATAGCTCCATTTGATAATAATTGATCGTAAGTGTTCAATGCGGGTTCGGCTGCACCCTTGCAAGCTGCCAGAAGAGCTCTTCCCACATCTTCATCTCCAACAGATTCGATTCCGGGTTCCACCCTCTCCTACCGAGTTGAACATGTTTCAGAGAAAACAAGTATTCAATAAAATAAGGACCAATTTCCATTCAACAGAGATATAACTAAATTGAAAGTAGCCAAGAGGAAGATGTACCAATGCAGCCTTCTCTAGATGAAGGCAGAGAGGATCCAGAGGTAAAACGGCTCCATACCCGGGATACACTTTAGAACCAACCCTATTCTAAACAGAGCAAGCCTCCGCAACACCACCTCTTAAAAGAGCTTGATCAATGAGTCTAGCCCAGGTTTCTCGGATAATGCTACTATCAGCATCACCTGAGTAGTTTGCAAAGTGCAGCATTTCCAGGCATATCTAAAGGCAGAAATGAAAAGGCAACGAATCTCATTAATAATAATAACAGAAGTTATCACATGATTAAAGGGAAATAGTACAAGAAAAACCTTAATAAAAGCCATTAAAAACAATTCCAAACAACATGTTGAATCATTTGGAAACACAATTCAGTTTAAGAAAATTTCAATTGAAGAATACTATTATATGAGATATAATTCTCTCTCCACCCCTCATTTTGTTACTTATTTGCTCCTTGTCAGATCCCAAGATATGTGTGCATATATTTATTTATGAATATATTCTTTTCACCTCTCTTTTTATATACAACATCTCCACTGAGAGTAACAGAACAGGGAGAAAGAGAATTAAAAACAAGCACATTTATCTCACAAAGTTCAAAAGGAACTGCATATTCATTATACAACTGAGTAATGCTCTTCAAATCTGAAGATAACTCCTTGGCCTTCTCTCGTGCAGCATTCAATAAATTGGCATCGCCATTAAATCTGCTATCAGCAGCAGATCCATTTTGAACAGATTCTGATGTACCAGGTGTAGCTTCTAACCCGGTAGCAATTGCTTCCAGTTCCTCTTTAACCTTTATCTGAAACTGAAGAACAGCAAGCTTCCCTTCGAGTAAGTCCAGCAGTCCACTATCAAAAGCACCCCGGCTAGAAGCTACCAGACTATCATTGTTACTATCACTCTTGACTTGGAGAACAGCATTACTTAGGTATTGACGCCTGACATTGACAATCAAAACAAGTGTTAGACAAATCATTCTGACAAGGAATGAGTTTCCTTTTCCCCTCTTACAATCACAATTCAAAGTTCTTTCAACACCAATTATAAAACTAGTGTTGAAAGCCACAAACAGTACAATGGATGCATTTGACTAATTACTACATGTCATGTGTGTGCATAGCACTCCAAAAAGCTGAATAGCAGCTCTTCCTCTTAATCTTGTATCAAAGGTTAAATGGTTTGAAGGATAAGAACACATTTAGATTTTCAATACAACAACCAGATATCAGATCAGCACATGATTATAGAGATGAATTTACTGATTTACAACCCACAAGGTCTAAGAAGATATGGATAAAAATTGATAAAATGAAAGCTGTCTACCTCTGTTCAAGACTAGGAGCAGTGCTCCCATCAATTGAGCGTCTTTCAGCCAGCCTCAACAGTACATGAGCTGCAAGTAAATGCTGTCGCTTCAAGACATAATATCGAGCCAAGAGATCAAAGTATTTGGCTTGATTAGAATGAATAGGAGCTCCCGGTTGACCCATTGAAGGGGTTGCTGATGTCAATGCAGATAGAGTTCGAACCTATATGGAAGATGATAGAAATGTGAAAAACAATTTGAAAAAGTAATTTCAGCAATTCATCATCAAAGCTCTGAAGAAAACGGTGTTCACAGGTTGACAGTCAACTTTGAAATAAAATAATACCAAATCAGGACCTCCATATTCCAACAGCTCATTCTCAAGACCTAAATCAATCATAGTTCTATACAAGTACTCATGAAATATTCTGTCAGGTGATTGAACACTATGCTGAACAATCTGGCATATAAATTTTCTCCGTGAAGCATTATCAAGGACAGATTTCACTGCAGCAGGAGACCCAAATTCCCTCTGTGAGCCCTCACCTTTCAGAGAACGTAAAGCACTACTAATTGTCTTGTTAGAATTCCCAAGATTAAGGATATAATACTAACCTTAGTCCTAGGAGTTACCTTGTATAGTAGGATCTAATCTTAGTCTCTAATTCTTAGGAAGTTACTGATTTTTAGGGATTGTTTCCTTATTTGTACTTAGTTCTCCTTATAAAGGCTGTAAATTAATTAATAAAAAGTAACAATCTTCTTTTTAAGTTTGTTCATATCCCATAGCACTGTTCAATCTGGGAAATTGCATATTCTCTGATTGCTTGATCAATTTGCTCATTGAAAGCATCACCTGCAGGATCAAGTGCCTGAGCTTTCTGTAGGGGTAAGCAAACCACAGCTTCATAAGACCTGCAGTAAAGTCTCAAGTTAAAGATGCAATAATCTGATTTAAACAATGTCTTGTTATAGAAATCATATTCTAGCCCCTTAATTGAATGATAAAATCACCTTAAGTCCTCAAACCGTTTGCAAACAGTTCTTAAATCAGTGGATTCTGGAACTTTACTTAGGAATTCAAAGGCCTCCACGGCAAGATTTTTCTTCGCATTAGGATCAGAAGTTACAGCAGCTCTTTCAAGACATTTCACAACCAAGAAAACTTATAATCAGACTCCTTGAAATAGATTGGACATCCCTCACGTAATTTCCCACTTATATCATCCACGGTTCCCCTGCCATCAGGGCCGGTATAATACTGGAACAACATTTATTAGCGCAATCCTTCAGAAACTCTAATATACAATTTGAAGAAAAGAAAATCCTGGGAATTAAGAAAAGAGTTCATATACTGAACTTCGATGATACTTTATATAAGATTCAGTTACCTCCATCAAGGCAGAAATAAGTCTTGTAGCAAGGCAGTCACCCTCAGAACAAACAAGTTGGTGGAATGTCAACTGAACCAACTCCTGGCGGCGGATATTTGCATCAAACCCCTGGACCAAGCGTGTTACATGATGCTGAGAAACAAGCTGTAGTAAAAACAGAGCTTCAGCAGACCTAAGAAGCAACTGACGGACGCACTCCATTGCTCTAACCTGTAGCACAAGACTTTTGTAAGACACAGATATGAGGTCTAGGGTTAAGTACATTATAAATGGATGCATCAGGAAATTCCACACCACCTCCATTGTAGCCAATTCAGCGGGACTATACGGCAATCGCTGTCTTTTATTTGATGTTCCACCGGCATTAGACTCCACACTCCGGGAATAAGCACCAAATAAGTTTCTCACCATGCTCCTATCACTGGCTCCTAATTCTGAACCAGTTCCGTACAGAATAGAACTAGTCATGTCACCTAAACCAGCTACACATCCATAAAGCCCTCTTCTTTTGTTCCTTCTAGACCTTAAGAACATCTCCAAAGCACGAATCTTGTTCTCATGGACTTGCATCGCCCCAACAGAAAGTCTGCACGAAATCAACCCATTTTCTGATGCTTCATCATAACCACCTTTCACAACCATAACAGGGAGCTCCCAAACAGGAAATAGAAACCTTGATGAGCACAGGCAGAGCCCTTCATGAGCACCTGAGAACACTGGCTCGGCCTTCTGAGCAACCTGCCCCATGCTGAAACCCCCAGCTGTTATTCGAGTATTTGATAATCCACCAGCACCTTCAAATTGTGGCACTCCAACAATTCTTGGGTCCTCAAATGCTTCAGCTTCCTTTTCAGCAACAACATTGCTTATAAGATTTTCAGAATGAACCACCTTTGCAGCTAGTATCAAACACATAGCAGCTGCTTCACCAGCACCAAAACGATTAAAGAAATCCTCTAATATGGATCTTGGAGAGTTCGACTCCAACAATCTTCTTAGAATATCAATAGGTCGATTGAAAACTACTTCCATCAAACAATTCTCCTCCTTGGTAGTATATGTTGAGTTGAAATGTCACCTCTAGCCCACAACTTTCCGGATGCCTTTTCAAAGGACTCAACTGAGCTTTCAAATCCAAAAAATTCAAGCTCTGAATAAAGTGATAAGACAGTGGCAGTTGTATCTGGTAAGGGAGGAACATCTGCCACAAAGAGCATTCGCCCTTCAACGGGCAAGAAAGATACAAATTCTCGTAGCGCTCGGGAATTCCGAACACTTGCTTCTAAATTA